TATTCAAACACATTTTTCAGTGTGCATTTGCATGGCAAATCATTATCATGTCGGCTCTTGATCAATTAACAGAGCTCACATGTCACTTTACCTTGATTTGTTCTGGATTTATGAATCTGGGGACTGTTTCAGAATGAAGCAATTATTAAATAAACAGACAGTCATCCCAGAATCATCACAGAGCTTGTGTTTTACATTTTGCTCTAGGGATGCAACTTACTGGGAAGTTCAGTTGAGTTCACATTTTTTTAGTGGTGTTTTCACACCAAAAGCACCCAGAGGAAAAAGTTATTGCTGTAAGGTTGATCTTTCATAATGCTTAATGAATTTATATTAATTTAAGTGTAAATTACGCTTTAGATGTTTCTCCTAAAATACATCAGGAGAAAAATAGACACAAATCAGGAGATTTTTTTTATTCTACAAGGCAACCATTTCATAGTTTTAACAAAGATTCCAGTGCAGTGCAGCACTGATTTGTTCTCTGGTTCCCTGGGTTTATTGCTCACTGGCTCACATGCCCACCTTCATTTCAAAGGGTCATGAGTTTAAAACTAGCCTGAAGCAAAGAGTGAAGAACGTCAGAACAAGAAGAGCAATCCTGGCTTAAACAAGACCCTGAGCACAAAACCTCTTTTATTATCCACAATGAATAATTATGATTAACAAGCCTTATAAAAACCTAGTGAGTTTTAGTGAGGGCCCAGTCACAATTTCAGCTAAGGGGATCCCCCAGACTGCGAGGGGGGCCTTCAACCAGTCCGTGCCCAGGGCACCGCTGTGCCATGATCTGGCCCTGTGAATTAAAAAGTATGTTCTATATAGTATGAATATGGGTAGTAAATTCAGACGTACTACTTCCGCCATGTTGTTCCGTCACATGACCTACCTGACCTATCAGTTGTGTCAGTTCACTGCCATTCATAAATACTCTCCCGTGGCCTCATGGGATAATAAAGTGTCCATCAAATGCACACTTCAGAATCCAGCCAGAAGAAGTAGGTCATCTGGACACTTTTCGTGTACTCTTTTTCGAATACTATGAATTTGGACATACTACTTGCCTCACATACTGTTTTTCGCATACTATATAGTAGGGAAATATGCAATTTCAGATGCAGTGAGTTTCTAAGATCCTAGACTGTAACATGACCATAAAATTCCAATTTAAACAACTTTACAGTTCAAATAATAACATTTTTGACAAATTTTATAAAATTATAAACCTCATTTTAGCCTAATAAATTGACTGAACAAAAACGGCAGACAGCTGAATGAAAATGCAAATTCACTATCTTCCAGCTTATGAAAAAGCAGAAAATCAGCAGTTACCCTGTAAACAAATCATAAACAGCATATTTTTTTTTGCTCCCTCGTTATTGAACAAGCTGCAGAGTATTCTAATGCTGGAAACACTCCCCTCTCTAAAATTTTTTTTAATTATTTTTTTGATCTGTCATTACATGTGTGCAGGGCAAGATTTTGTTAGTTTTATGTGTTTGTAAATAGTTTTAATGTGAAACTTTTTGTGCTGCCACTTTGGCCAGGATTCCCTGGAAGAACAGATTTTACATCTCAATGAGACTATCCTGGTAAAACAAAGGATTAATAAATAAATAAATAAAATGGACGTAAGAAACTCCTCGGATTTGCACAAATAGCGTGATTGTTTTCAATGTCAGAATGTCGAATTGTGCTGAAAAGCGAGCTTGCAGGTATGAAGCCAATCCTAGAATGCACTGCCACAAGCTCTGTCAAGAAAAAAAAAATAGAAAGAAAGAAACAAATATACCAATTCAAGAATAAAATGAGGGAAGAAATAAAAGTCAGATGTTCATTATGAACTTCCAGACCCTTTAGATTCCATATTTCTGCCTCACTGTCCCCAGCAGGCACTGGAAATGGTCCTAAAATCACATTTCATTTTCAATTGTGGAATGAAAAAGATTCCAAGAGAGCCTTAAGAGGGTTCTCAGAAAATGCACTTGGCCAGATTACAAAGACTGAGCCATCACGCTTTTGATTTGCCACAGCAGGTCCAAAGTAAATCTGCTTGTGAATTAATTATTAAAATGTCTTGATAAAGAATAGTTCTATGTTTTTTAGTGTCTGCTGGGTGAATTTCACAAAAACATGTCCAGATCATATTTCACCCCAAAAACTAAATAAAAACATATTTTGCATGAAGTGCATAGCTTATGATGCAAGTAACAATTTATTATTTCTTTCCTTGGATTTTGGAGAAAAAATATGACATATTATTGAATGCCTGTGTAAGATTTTTTTCTGACTTTTGTTTAAAGCTTTGTAATATAGAAGTCTTATTTTGTGGAGTATTGAAACAAAGCTGACGTGGGCAGAAGAAACATCATTCTTAAGTGCATGTGTTTGTTTGGAATTAAATTGACTCCTTCAGATGAAATAAAGTGCTCATTGGAAATTCAAATGGGATGTGTGGGCTTGGTAATTAGCACTGGCCAATCCTAGAATGCACTGCCACAAGCTCTGTCAAGAAAAAAAAAATAGAAAGAAAGAAACAAATATACCAATTCAAGAATAAAATGAGGGAAGAAATAAAAGTCAGATGTTCATTATGAACTTCCAGACCCTTTAGATTCCATATTTCTGCCTCACTGTCCCCAGCAGGCACTGGAAATGGTCCTAAAATCACATTTCATTTTCAATTGTGGAATGAAAAAGATTCCAAGAGAGCCTTAAGAGGGTTCTCAGAAAATGCACTTGGCCAGATTACAAAGACTGAGCCATCACGCTTTTGATTTGCCACAGCAGGTCCAAAGTAAATCTGCTTGTGAATTAATTATTAAAATGTCTTGATAAAGAATAGTTCTATGTTTTTTAGTGTCTGCTGGGTGAATTTCACAAAAACATGTCCAGATCATATTTCACCCCAAAAACTAAATAAAAACATATTTTGCATGAAGTGCATAGCTTATGATGCAAGTAACAATTTATTATTTCTTTCCTTGGATTTTGGAGAAAAATATGACATATTATTGAATGCCTGTGTAAGATTTTTTTCTGACTTTTGTTTAAAGCTTTGTAATATAGAAGTCTTATTTTGTGAATTATTGAAACAAAGCTGACGTGGGCAGAAGAAACATCATTCTTAAGTGCATGTGTTTGTTTGGAATTAAATTGACTCCTTCAGATGAAATAAAGTGCTCATTGGAAATTCAAATGGGATGTGTGGGCTTGGTAATTAGCACTGGAGCAAGACTGCTCTAATTAAATCAAGCCTCTTTTCTCCTCAGTGACATGAAGAGCCCAATGCTGCAGCTCATCTCTTCTTTGTAGGTTGATGGTAGTTTTACCTTGAATACTTTGGACTTGCCTTATGATATTATTAGCGTTTTTCCCTGTCTGAATCACATCATTGATGTCTCCTGTCGCAGAGCACAAGAGATGGTTTGTGGAAGTCTGATGGATATTGATTAAACGCCTCTTTCCTCACACATCTGGCTCTTTTGGGACAGATGACTGATTGTCTCAATAGAGGCTTTGCTTAGTCCAGGCTCAAAATGGCATGGTTAGTCTTAGAAAAGTATGATGAAGTACTGCAGCTGAATACTTTGGATGAAATTTTACTTTATCAAAGAGAAATACTTTCATGGACCTTGTTTAAGCCCTGTTGCGACAGACAATCGTTTCCTAGAGGATTCGCATTGAGGGGCTTGGAAAGTTAGTTTGAAAACAACACAGCCCTGTAAACGTCATTGGGATCCATCGTGTGGGAATTAAATGGCTGTTTTTATGGTCACTGCTGTTGTTTTTTTCCAGATGCACTTGTCGGTGTAAAGACTTTATGTCTAAAGAAGCCAGAATAGCACAGAAACTTGAGGGACTCTTTTCACTTGGATTTTGCACCATGCTTTTTTGCTGCTCTTATTAATTTGTTAATGGCACAATATCCTAGCATATGCATTTTCATTCAGATATTCATATATCTGTATTTGTGGTGTCATATTAATTCAAATTAGCTGTTTTTTTTCTTCTACTGAATCTATTCTTTAAGGAGATATGCATGACTTTGTTGTTTTGAATGTGCCATAAACCAAACCCAATCCCAGACTGACACGCTCAGTTAAAGCTCTCAACAGAAGTTAGAGGGGAATGTGCATTAGCAAATTGACTATGCACGAGACTCCAGGGCTCTTGGTGATTGCCTACACACACACACACACACACACACTCATAACCTTGCAATAAAACAGCTGATGCAACACTTCCAAGACACATGGTAGAAAGTCTGCTTTATTGGTTTCATCATAACAGTCTTCATTCCCATACGATCACATTTAGGTTCTGCATATACAATATGTTTCAATAGGCTAAAATGATCAACAAGCTCCATTTTTAATGAATTTCGTGTGATTTTTGTGTCCAGAATGGTTCAGAATCTATATCATTTGCACATGCATGTCTGTCTATAGTTAAGGGTGCATCAAACACTAAAGCTGCTGTCTCTGTTGCTTTGAAGAGAGTTTATTTGCGGTCTCCTAAATTATTTTCACTCTCTAACAGACCAAACACATATCGGAGAACAACCTAGTTTTTAAATGCATAGTCATGTGAAAGTCATGCAAAAATCATGCAGCAACACAACATGAACAAACTTGGTTTGTACAAACTGAACAAAAATTCTCCCACTCCAGGAAATGGGATTTACTCTTTTTTTCTTTTGTGCCGAGTCATTCGCCTTAAATCTCCACTGACCTCAAAGAATACTTCATTAGAATTCTGCCATTGATTGATTGGGAAAATGTGAATGATTTATTAACAGAAAGCACAATTTGGAATAGGAAGGTGAATCAGCATTGGGAAAACATTAACGATATTACATTGTGGGTAAAAAAAAATCTGGTCCTTTAAGACTGTTTATATTTTGGCAAATATTTAAATTATTTTAAGTGACAATTAAGCACATTTCCTCCTAAAAATTATCATGTAGTAATGCAATTTAGTACTGGTTTTTGCCATTTTATTAAAGTTGATTTTATTTTATTAAACTAGCATACACAAATTCTTCCATTATGTGGATGCAAATGCATACAGTTGTACTTTTCTAATATTTTTGTCGCAATATATTGAGAATGAGATTACAGTAAATGTTTGCCATGTAAATAATGCACATTGCAAATCTTATTAATCAAAATGGATTTTATTTTTATTTATTTGCCAGTATAGTCATGAGAATGAGGAAGGAGGTTTAAATTTGATTCTCATTAATATATTGCAAAATGCAAATCCTATTATCTGTCCTAAAATTAGGACTTTCTTCAAACAAAATATAATTTATTTTGAATTTGGACTAAAAGACCCAGATTTGTCATGCGATTCACCTTTTTGGAGGTTGATGAGCAAATTGACTTGAATCAGAGGGAACGCCGTAGTTTAAAAACTGTCCTTGTGCCTCAACTCAGACTTTGTACATTATGTAATCGGTGGAAAAGTTGAATGGAAAAAGGTCCAACGATTGTTATAACCTTGCGTCTGAGGAAAAAGCACAACCTGATCTATTCTAAACGGGTGTAACGGATACTTCAAAACACAGAGAACGCATACCACAGAGTTTAATGACACAGCTTGCATAATTTCATGAAAAACGTAATGGAATGAACTGTGAGTTAATTACGGGTAATTAAACTATCAACCGGCATCCTATGAACCCAAATAAAACAGATGAAAGGGAAATGCCGTTTCAACAGCCTCGTTTGAAAGATAGAAAATAGCTGTTACTAGCAGAGTATGATAAATCAACAGAAAAAACCCGAAATAGATTCAGGCTCATCCAGGCTTAAACTACACAATACCTCTTCGGCCTCAACCCCACCCGACCGCATTCTCCCAGTATGGCCCCCAGCCAAACTTCCCTGGGAAACAGATCGCACCTCAGGGAGCATCATCCAAAGATAAAGCTCACCGCCTCAAAAGCAGAGAGGGAACAAGTGAAGATAATGCAAGATATGGAAGACTCATGGTCCTTGCTCCAAATTATTCAGGTTAGAAGTGTTTAAGACTACTTGTGCTCAACAAATTAAATAAGACATAGACCAATAATTGGTTAGACCAATATTTACTTATCCGCTTTAATAGTAGGTCAATAAACAACAATTTCGTGCACCTCTAAAGAATAACACTCAACGACACCTTTGCAACACTGTGTATTTGTCACAAAACAGTGCAGTCAGTAATAGTTTAAAGAATTACTTTTATAAATTACTCTACTTAATACATGCAGGACTAACAGTTAGACTTGGCCTGCATTGAATACATGAATATTTAAATTGCTAAAATATAATTGTGATATTTACAATGCATATTGTTTTTATTGTAGTGCACTATTTAGATATAGCCTCAAATGCAAACACTGCTTCTTCAAATCGTTTATCTGAGTTTTTGGTTTTAGTTATCAGTCATTAATAAAAATAGCTAAAAATACTGAACTAAGTTGATCTCTACAGACATGATCCCTTTACCTGCCCACCATGGTGATTCTGACTCACGATACTTTGACTGAAACATTTTGGACGTGTTTTTGTGCCAGATCTCTGTAGCGTGGGTGGAGAGAAGTGGATCTCCGGTCTCCTCCAGGCATGAGATCTGAATCACACTTCCCAAACCCACTTAAAACGCACCCACACTCATTGAGGATATTGCACTGTAAAATGATGCATTTTTATGTTATTTTTCAGTAGCTGAGGCAGTTGAAATGGACAGGAGGTTGGCAAGAGTTTCTTTTCTTTCCTGCCGTTTTTAACACTCATGCACAGATTTATGCAGTTTCCCTTAAAGTAATAAAAAATTATAATTTACCATGGTAACCAGTTTTTCAGCAAACATCATAGTTACTATGGCTTACTGATTATTCTGGAAACATCTTACATTGCTTTCCATGACATTCCTTACTTTTTTTTTATGCGTTGTTATAGCAGTAACAACAAAAGGAGCAACAAAGATATGTTGGTGCAAACTATGATTACCATGGTACATTTTTATAAGGTTTACAAAGGTAAAGCACCAGACAAAAAAGGGGGATTTTGAGCATGCACTCAAGCTCAGAGAACTTTCCAAATGAAAATGAACAAACTTATGAATAAATTAAAAACAAGGAAATGACACAAATGTGGGACCTGACTGCAAGTTTATTTTTATATTACACTTTTAAAAACATGTATAAAATTGGTCCGGCTTCAAAAACAAGCCACACAATGTCTTGGTTCATGATCTCAGTGTTTGTATCAAGCATTCCCTACATAAAAACATCCAAATTACTGAGGTTAAAAATCAGAGCAGCGAGACAACCATGCAAATAAACTTGCAGACTGGACGCTTTAATAGTAGGTCTCCCTCTCCACCCAACCTATGACAAAAATATAAAATTCAAATTAGCTCAGCAGGATGTTTGCATGCATGTGAACTCTGATCTGTATAGTCTTGAAAATCCATCAATTTGGTGGAAAAACAACAACAACAACAACAAAAACTAGTGAGCTGTTTATATAGGCAACATTTAAAGTCAAACACTGGCTTCTATCATGTGTTCTTCATTGAGAAGCAATCCCAGAAGGCAGTACAATGTGGGGAAAAATCTATCCAAGATGGCAGGTACACTTGAAAGAAATCTTAAAATTATTAAAGAACTACTTATTCAAAATGTAGGCAATATTTATGTTTGTATTTTTGCATCATATTATTACCTATGTAGACAAGTCAGCTCACTAGGTTTTGGAACACAAGATTTACCACATTACACAAACAAAAATGATCTTCATTGTTATGATGGATGGTGCAATTAAATATTCTCTTACCTCCTGGGCTGCGTCGGATGATAAGTTTTCGGATTTCATCATAAATAAAGATGAGGAGTGAGTAGGGGAAGGCGCAGAACCACCAGCTTGGTCTGGGAAAGAAATTGTACCAAAATTAATCTAGACAGCAGTTTGATATTTATTACATTAGCAAATTCTCCCAGTAAACTCTCCTAACAAAACATATTTCTCCTAAAAATTCATGAAATATTGAGCATCAGTCATGCTCAACTTTTTCTTTAAATAAATTAAACAGTAAAGCCACTGTGGCAATGTTTTTACATATTGTGTTTGCATAATGCATTGTATAAACTCATGTGATGCAATGGAAATATAACCTCTTACGTAAAAAAAAAAAAGAAGACAAACAAATTATACACATTACAAACAATTTATACTGAAATATTTTCAGCTTTTTTCTTAAATGACAACAAAACAGTTAAAAGGGCAATACTTACTTCAGTGGGTACATTCTGAGGGCAACATCCATGCCTGGGCAGTAAGACAGGAAAGCTGCAAGAGCCGTTTCTTCAAACAGTCCAAATATGAGAATCTTATTCCTGTAAGCAACAGAAAACACACAAGACTTGTTATCCCTGATTGGAGCGATTCAAATTAGGTCAAATTATTGACCATTTACTTACTTCATTCCCTGCTGGAAGACAGAGTTTCTTCTCGTCTTGCAGATGATCAGATCGGCCCACTGCACAACTACAATACTGGCGAAGAAGGCTGTGTGGCATGTGAACTCCACAATCTTCCTCTGCTCATATGTCTGTGATGACCAAGAACACGACATTCATATAAGGTGGTGGGGAAAAAAGGAACAATTATATGCCCACTGGATGAAAACGCTCACCCATTGCTGGCCATAACTGTCTTCCAGGTCGTTGACATATTTGTCATCCCAAAACACTCGAATGCCCAGCAATGACGATGGCAGGAAACCATTTTCAGCCAAGATGACAAAATACGTGAAGAACCCGGCCAGAGCTTGAATCATACCTGTGAAGCAATGGGATTCAATCACCCAACTCCACTTTACGCAACTGGTGGTAGAGAAGTTGTGGAGAAGAAAGCCTGCAGAAGTTTATGCTGTGAAGTATCTGAGACTCTTACCGATCTGACCGTAGGCTATGCTAATGAGTCTCTCGTTCACAAGTTTGTCTGTTTTGGGGTTTCTGGGTTGACGCTTCATGATGTCACTCTCTGCAGCTTCATAGGCCAATGAAATGGCAGGAACCTTGAGGATAAGAGGACAATAACATTCATGCAAGAACATGATAGGATGACCAATTAAGTGGTAAATTACTAGTCAAGTGCAGTGCTTACCATGTCAGTACCCAGGTCAATGCAAAGAATGGTGACGGTACCCAAAGGAAGAGGGATGTTGGCAATGATGAAGAGGAGGAAGGGGGTGATCTCAGGGATGTTACTGGTCAGGGTGTAGGCAATGGACTTCTTCAAGTTGTCAAAAATCAGACGGCCTAAAGTGGAAGACAAGCTTGAGGAGCAGGTCTCAAAGGAACCTTCAGAATACTTCAGTCAATGAAGTTCCCAATAACAAGTCTTACCTTCTTCTACTCCAGTGACAATTGAGGCAAAGTTGTCATCCAGAAGGATCATGTCAGCAGCCTGTTTGGATACATCAGATCCAGCAATACCCATAGCCACACCAATATCAGCCTTCTTCAAAGCAGGAGAATCATTGACACCATCACCGGTTACAGCTACAATGGCACCCTGTGTACAAACACAAATGGATATTGCATCATGTTGTGGCACGCCTACGTTCTTGTCCTAACCAGCTATGATCGCACCAACACGATTTGTCAATATTTTGGTGTCTACAATAACTTTATATGTTCCATTTCAGTGTGGACAGAAGTTACTTGCCTTGTATTGCACCAACTAGGTAAAGTACTTACCTCTTATCTTATCAAAATTACCTGGTGAAGTTCTGATTGATCTGAGATTGTAAAGACTACTAACCTGTCTTTGGCAGCCTTCAACGATAATCAGTTTCTGCTGAGGAGACGTTCTGGCAAACACAATTTCTGTGTGGTGTTTCAAGACATCATCTAATTGCTCTGGGGTTAGATCCTTCAGGTCACCACCATGGATCACACAAGCCTTGGCATCCCTTCAAAGAACATTAAATTAAATAAAAAACTGGATGCAATAAATATCCAGCCAGAGACATCCAAACTGAGGAGGAGGAGGAATACGCTACCTTGGGTTGACCTCATTAATAGGAATGTTCAAGCGAGCAGCAATATCTTCAACAGTCTCGTTGCCCTCAGAGATGATACCCACTCCCTTGGCAATGGCCTTGGCTGTAATTGGATGATCACCAGTAACCATAATAACCTAGAAGAGAGATTTTGAATTAGCATTTAATATGATTTTGGTTGTTTCTTAAAAACGACTAGCAGTTATTTGTATGACCACGAAGTACCTTGATTCCAGCGCTCCTACATTTTCCCACAGCATCTGGTACAGCAGCACGAGGAGGATCAATCATGGACATAAGGCCAATGAAGCACAAGTTCTCTGTGGGGAAGTTCACCTCTTCTGTATCGAACTGGAAGTCCTCAGGAAACTGTTCATCAGGAAGGTTGAAGTGGCAGAAGCCTGTGGAAAAACAACATGTTGATGGAAAGTGCAGAATGGAAACACATAGTTTAGAAATACAATTTAAAATGCAAAATTACCCAGCACTCTTTCTCCAAGGCCACCAAGTTCCAAGTAGGCATTTTGGAAGGCGTCCTTCATCTCATCATCAAGCGGCTGCTCTTTTCCTTGGATTAAAATAGAGCTGCACCTGTCCAGGATCCTCTCAGGAGCACCTTTCATTACTAGCAGGTGTGTGGTTTCAGTTTTATTGCTATTGGGGTTCTCATGGATGGAGAGCTAAAAAGGTCCATAAACAGAATATGATTGAACATCTGAATTTCATCCAAAGACTTGGCCAAAGCAGGAGGTGGTTTTACCTGGTATTTGTTAGTGGAGTTGAATGGGATCTCTGCAATCTTGTTGTATTTTTCTCTCATCTCTTTAACAGACCCACAGCAGAGCTCTATACACTTCAGCAGGGCAGATTCGGAGGCGTCACCAGCCACGTCTCTCTGTGAGAAGAAACAGAAAAGCATAAAAACAAGGAACGGTCTGAAAAAACAGGATTAAGAAACAGGGCTGAATTTTAAAACAGCTTAGATGTTCTATGAAATGCAAGGCAATTTGAGGTAACGGTCCAACAAAATTACTCCCATTACAAAACAAGTCAGAGTGGGCAAAAATTGAAAAGTGTTTACAGGAAAACACTGTTCCAGTCAGAGGCTCTAGAGAACTCAAGGGGCTCGAAGAATCCCCAGAGGCAAACAGCCAAACTAAACACAAGCAGACAAACATGGCTAGCATGTAGTAAACAACCTTCAGATGGCATCAGTAACATGCAAAGACTACCTTGTCAGACTATGCAAGGGCTTGTGAATCTTTTCACATACTTTTACAAAGCATCAACCCACACCTTAAGAATTGGGAAGTTTTCTTGCTCTGCAAGGAAGACAGCACGGTTGCAGAGACCGGCAACACGTGCGAGGGCGGCCCAAGTAGCAGAGCTCCTGTCGAATGAGGTTCCACTCTGATTCTCTGTGGTGTCTGCTTCATGAATCTGGTTGTCAAACCACATGTGAGCAACGGTCATTCGGTTCTGGGTCAAAGTTCCGGTCTTGTCAGAGCAGATTGTGGAGGTTGAGCCAAGAGTCTCCACGGCTTCAAGATTCTTCACCAGGCAGTTTTTCTTTGCCATACGTTTGGCAGTCAGAGTCAAACACACCTGGAAAGTACAAGAGAGAGGTCTATCTATATTTGAGATTACAATTAATCCAAATTGTAGCAATTATTCTGACACTTACAGTAACAGTAGCCAGGAGACCCTCTGGCACATTAGCGACAATGATACCAATAAGGAAGATGACAGCTTCCAACCAAGAGTAACCAAGGATCAGGGAGAGAATGAAGAAAGACACACCCAGGAAGACAGCCACACCAGTGATGATGTGTATAAAGTGCTCAATCTCAATAGAGATGGGAGTTCGACCAACTTCAAGACCAGAAGCAAGAGTCGCGATACGACCCATGACAGTACGGTCACCAGTGTTGATGACGATACCTCTGGCAGTGCCTGTAAGCAAAACAAATAGCAATGAAAACATCAACTTTAATGGACACAAATTTGACTTCAACAAGAATTTGTTTTTGTACCTTCAACACAGTTGGTAGAGAAGAATGCAATGTTCCTGGTTTCCAGTGGGTTTTCATTGGAGAAATCAGGAGTGCGAGTCTGGGGCTCAGATTCTCCAGTGAGGGAGGAGTTGTCCACCTGGAAAGGACAAGATATGTTGTGAATCCTTGTAGACAAGGAATGTGCCATTGGAGAATACTTTTCACCATGATTTATGGAAATGGCATTTTACCTTACATCCATGAGCAGAAATGATACGCAGATCAGCGGGAATTCTGTCACCACCTTTGACTTCCACAAGATCTCCAACCACAACTTCTTCAGCATTGATATTCTTCTTCTCACCATCACGGATAACCAAGGCTTGCTATGTGACAAAGTGGAAATTCAATTAACATCACAAAGGAAAATAAAGACCCTGATAGAGATATATATATATATA